TCGTAGTTGACAGTTGGAGGCATAAAGTCAGAGGTCACTTCCAGAATGCTGTGACTTCCAATGTCAACCATCAGTCTGTTGCCCTCTGCATTGAATTGATTTGTGCAATTGGCAATGTGCACAAGTCTGCATGCAGTCCATCTAGCAGAAAAATGTGGAGAGGTGGTAGATCTAGAAGGATTTCCAAGGCCGCTGACGGTGTGGTACTGATGACACCACTGATAGCCAGACAAGCCTGTCTCTGTAAGCCAGAGAACTTCGCTTGGGCCCTTTTTTGTAAAGCGTTCGGCCACAAAGCAATTGCACTATACGTGATCATTGGTCTGACAATCATCACATAAATCCAATGGATTTGTTTGGGACCTAAACCCCAAGTTTTACCACAAATCCTTCAAAATATACCTAGAGACAGTCTGGCAAGGACAATGCCAAGATATTTCACCTCCGTTCCAAATGGAATGACCACACCATTGAGGGAAAGTGGCGTTATATCGTCCAATTTCCTTCTCTTGGTGAAGGGGATTAACACAGTTTTGCTGGGGTTGACAGACATCTGTTCCCTCAGGCACCAACTGTGAACAACGTCCAACGTGCTTCGGAGGATATTACAAGTTACCCTTCCCGACGTGGACCTTGCCAGGATGACAAGGTCATCTGCATAAGCTTGCAGGTCAAACTTTCTTCTGACGAGGGCATCAAGCAGACTATTCACCAGGAGCGACCACAGAAGGGGAGATAGTACCCCACTTCGAGGGAAGCCCCTGGTGACCTTGAACCTGATAGCCTCGCCTTGAAGAGTCGTAGTTGCAATTCTGGTTACTAGCATGGCATAGATCCAGCCAGTTATGGTCTATTCTATACCTTTCCTAGCCAGAGGCAATCCTATAGATTAAGGTAGTACATTGTCAAATGCTCCTTCAATATCAAGAAAAACAGCAACCACAATCTCATTGTTGTCAAGGGATTGGGATATTTTCTCAACGAGGTTATTTAATGCTGAATCTCTCGATTTGTCGGTTTGATAAGCATACTGGTGGTTATTCAGTGGGGATGCATATAATGCTACCCTCCTGATATGTCCGTCCAGTATCCTCTTAAGTCCTTTCAGCAAGAAGGATGTTAGGCTGATTGGTCGTACCGATTTGGGGTGTGGGTCTCTCCGGCCCACTTCAGGTATATATACCACCCTTGCTGCCAACCATCTGGGTGGTATATAGTTCCACGCCAGACTAGCCCTCTACAATTTTGTGAGAATAGGTAAAATTATTTTCAGTCCGTTTTGAAAAAGAGCTGGAAATATACCATCCTCTCCGGGAGATTTGAAGGGCTGAAAAGACTTGATACCCAGGTTTTAGCTAAGTCTTACTATAAAGCAACATGTAAATGGATACAGCAAAATGTAATTCATATCAAAAATTCAACTCTGTCCATCCAACAAACGAAGTAACCCAAACAATGATGGATGCGACATGTGAATTTGCATCTATTGGATATAATGAACAAGCCTCCTTAGGCCGGTGACATACTTCGCCATTTTCGAGCGGTTTTTTCCAGCTCGGTTTCCACGCTGGAGTTTATTTAAATTTTGATTAGTTGTGTCTGCGATCTTTTGTTCTGCTTGTCCAAAGGTTGAGTGGAAGACCATCTTTGTGCACTCCAGGTACCCAAGATGAAATTCGCCTTTTCAGTTTGCATAGAAGCCCTGTCCAAAAATTACGACCAAGGTGTCATTCGATTCGTATTTTTGCCTATAAAGTTTAAGGAAAGGTCCGAAAACGCGAAAACATGTGAACCAGACTATGATGGAGAATTTCGTACTCTTTACATTGATGTTGGTTATTTTTACCAAACTCATTTTATTAAGTCTTCTTCGCGTTAGGCGATTTTCCGCCATTTTTCTCTGTACGAATTCAAGTTTAACCAAAGCGCTGCCGAAACAGCCCAAAAATCAAACAGATATTTGGCAATGATAATGTTGACGAACGCACTGTTCGACGTTGGTTTGCGATGTTTCGTCCCGGGGATTTTAGCCTCAAAGTGGTCGACCTACTGAAATACCACCCCACCTCAAAAAATAAGAACCTTATTATCAACCATTTAAATGGTATTCCTCAGCTTAAACCTTCAGGAGACCAGTTATTATTACTTGATGAATATGAAAATTTACCAACTACCGAAAAGTTATTTACCTTCTCTCTCGTTACAGAAAGAACGGTAAGAAAGCACATGTACGACATCAAAAGCAATGCGACAAGGACAGATCAAATTTCAGTTCGTATGCCCCACTTGATAGATGACCACCTACTCTATCTATTTCCTCAAGCCTGGAAACACGCTCCGGCCATTCCCCTTCCCAAATGTAACACACCTTTATATTTTTCTGACCTTCGTTCCATAAGTTTTTTACCATCTTTGTGTAAAGTTGCAGAAAAGGTGATGAAAAATCGAATGACCTCCTATGTACATCTGTTAAAAAAAAATGTCAACCAACTGTCGCACCCATACGAACGACAACCCTCAGAAGTCGAAACTAGTGCGAGCTAAGGACTAACGAGGTCGTACCTTTTAACGTGTGATTCCTAACACGCTGTGTAAAAGTAATATTATAATTCACCATAATATAAGTAATATTATTTTTTACCATCTTTCAATTTACCGAGTAATATACAGGGGGTTTCATTTCAACAAATGAACTTTTGACTATTTTTATGCACAATGAAAATAATAGTAATTTTAGCACGCCCTATATGATATGGAGTCGATTTCTTGGTGTTATTTGAATATTTCGAGTTTGTCCAAACTATCATCAAAAATAATCAACGTTTCTTTGAATTCTGCAAGTTTTCTGTTTTGTGGATGAAGAATTTTCTCAAAAAGAGAAGTAGGAAAGTTCAAAGGGTGACCGTTCTGTTTTAGCAACAGATAACTGTCTGGTTTTCTCACATATTTAATATTTCATTTTCACATAATACTCCGGAACCGATTTGATTTTTACAAACTTTATTTCCAAAAATATCGATGTTTCTCTATCACAGTAGAGCTTTTTCGTAGGGAATAATATGATGAAAACTAATTCTTCACCCACGTAATCACTAGTGAGGACTACCTTCTCAGGTATATACTCTATCATAATTACCTAGAGAATATATATTATTTCTACATCAACTCAATTTTTATATACCTTAGGTACATAATCAATTATAGTTACCTAGTCTAGAGTCATTATAAAGACTAGGATAACATTGGTTTCTAAAAAAAAACAAGTTCAGTAATGGTTATCTTATGTGCAAAATTTCGAAATTTTCTAAAAGATGATTTGAATATGTTGAACTTGTTTTCTTATTTACATAGCTCATATGATGTTCGTTGATGCGATTCCTGAATGTTCTGCCGGTTTGACCAATATATACCTTAGGATAAGTCACACAATTTAATTTATATAGCCCCTATTCCTCGAATTTGGTTGTTTCATTGTTTTTGACTAACTTTCCCAGTGTATTACCTGTTCTATATGCAATTTTAATATCTTGTTTATTCAGAAACGAAGCCACTTTTTCTATTTTTTGTTCAAAATATTTCACTTTATGTATAATCGCTTACTAAAATTCCCATCCATTTTTGTGTTATAATTTTCGCATTCGAATCGATGAAACTAACTACTATTATTATTTGAATAAACATTGAACCGAATAAACGATAAATTTGCTTATTTTTATATCCATCACTCTTTTTCTTATCAACCTTAAATCACAAGTCATTTCAGGAACTCGAAAAACACCTGCATTTAATCTCGGCTGCCAGTACGTGGCAAAGTTTTCGATATATACCCAATTTCCAGTTATCGGGATCAAGACTGTGACAGGAACCCGGAAAAATTACTCATGTTTCTATGTCAAGCATAAAATGTGGATTTTCCGGCGGCAATCCTTTTATTAGTTGAAATCGCTGAGAAATTACATTTCCAGGAGCTTATTTCTCAAGGAAAATGCTGGCGATGGAGGAAAACTTCAACGTTGTGAAAGGATATCATTCCACAGAAAATCGATACGGAATGAACCACCCCTATGTTATCATCAAAACTCTTTGAACACCCTTGACGGGGGATGCTTCAATATAGAGGTGGGGGATGGAATGTAGCTGATGTTGCAAGATAGGTATTGGGGTTGAGTAATGAACCCTTCAGAATGTATTGTTTACGTTGTCATTAGACGGTCTGAAAAGTTCGTAGGCTAACACACAGATGGCGCTACTAACATTAAATCCAAATGATTTAAAGTTAACTCTAACCTTCAAAAGACACGTGTACAAATTTCACAGCCGTCTGACTATTAATTTGTGGGATAGACTATTTTGAGTGAAGCAACTTTTGTAAGTTTGAAGAAAATAGATAAAACGGAATTTTGTGTGTTGATAAAGCATAGATATACAGTGCATTTCTTTAATGTCCCCCCCTTTTATTTTATGAACGGGTCAACTCAAAAAATTGAAATTTGGGATAATTTGGGGTAGCAGTTGAAGATATTGACATTATATTTTAGGGTTGTGAAGTATTTGTCAGGAGCTTCAAAAAGTTGTGACCACAAGACCCCCCCCCTTCCATTTAATTTCTTTTCCAGATGGCGTCCAGTCGCGATCTTGAAAGTTTCATCTGTCAATTTCACTCAAAAATAAAGTATTCATGCATTAATTTCATTATCCCAAATTTCAATGTTTTGAGTTGATCCGTTCAAAAAATAAAAGGAAGGGGACATTAAAGAAATGCACTGTACATAAAATTTAAGTAATAACCTGAGCTTTTCTCAAGTTCAACAATTTCAATATTAAATAGTTCAACTTGGATTAGTTTAAGGTATCACTTCCTTAAATTAATATTAATATTATGGCACTTTGATCCTTAGATGTAAGTGCATGATTAGTTAATCGGTGTAATGTTTCCAAAGTATGTGAAAACTTTGCATAAAAATCCATACGTAAACACCACACACGTAATACCCCTTATCAGTCCATTTCATTAGTCATACTTCTAATATTACGGTCTGTCAGTCGCAAAATCAGTTGTTCTTCATAAGTGCTTCCTCTGATGATAGTATTGTTTATATTTCACGCCGCCACAAACGAGACATCGATCGTCAGTCTACATTCATTTTTCCAACCGTGAAGTGTTGCCTTTGTGTTTTTGTTGTTCCATCAACATTTTCTGTCTTGATGCAGATTATTTGTACTTCGCCTACTTTTGTGTGTTACTGTGATGATACTGTAAGTATCTAGATAAGTTGATACTTCCCAAGATTCATAGTTAGTACCTATATCCGTTCACTATATTGTGGTCGCCATCGAGAAGTACGAACAGCACAGCTTGAGGAAGCAGTACTTAGTACTACCAGTACTAGAAAGATTGCTTTCCAGCTAAATGTTGATCATATGACGGTATTTCGAATTTTAAAGGAACAACTCTTATACCCTTACCATCTGCAAGAGTACAGGCACTGTTACCGCGAGACATTCCAAACCGTCTTGAATTTTGCAATTGGATGCTGGAAATGATTAGAAGAAATTGTGACTTTCTAAAGACGATAGAATTCACAGACGAATGCAGTTTTTTTCGGTACAAGATTATTAATTTTCATAATTACCACATATGGGTCGATGAAAACCCTCACGTTACTGTCGAAAGTAACCATCAAGAAGAGTTTTCTTTTAACGTGTGGCTCGGAGTTATTGGGAATGATTTAATTGGGCCTTATTTTCTACCTCCTCGATTAAATTGTGAGGCATACGTTCAATTTTTAAGATAAATGCATCCAGTACTGCTGGAGGAAGTTCCTTTGGGCGTCAGAAGGGATGTTTTTTATGCATGATGGGGCTCCCGCCCATTTTAGTCAAGTAGCACGTCAATATTTAACTGAAACATATGCAAATCAGTAGATAGGTCGAAGAGGACCACAGAACTGGCCCGCTCGATCCTCGGATCTCAATCTTCTCGATTTCTCTATTTGGGGCCATTTACAGCATTTGGTTTATCGTACTCCTGTACGCGATGTAGAGGACTTAAGAAACCGCATCATTGATGCGTGCAGGGTAATCAGAGAGACTCCAGGAATATTTGAGTGAATACGTGGCTCAATGCGCCGACGTCTAGACGCATGCGTAATGTCTGAAGTTAGACATATTCAACATTAACTATGATTTCTACATGTTGTGTGTTTTGTTATTAATAAGTTAGTTTTGTTTATTACCCTTTAATCGTTTAATGCAGGTAATAACTACAAAATAACAATAAATCCAGTTCGCATTTATGACGATGTATCTCTGTAGTTGTTCGTAAAATAAGTTTTTGCTGCGAACTGGTTTATTTTGGGCAAAAATATCCAAAAGACATTTTTTCTTTAGAATGAAACAGGCTATCGGAAATAAATTTTTAAATGATAAACAAATAATAATACTAAAAGTTACATTGGAGATAAATTTTAGGGGTTGCGTTTTCCATCCTTTACAACCATGGGATAATCCAAATAAATTACTGTCTAAGTGTCTTTTTGGTAGTACAAAACGTCAGGTTAATTTCAATATTCAATTTTTAAGTGCTTGTGAAAAAATTGTTATACAAATTCTATGTACTTACCCCCTTTAAGGGGCTATATCTTAACAAGGGATGCTCCAATGAAGTTTCTTTATATGAAAGATCCTATCTTTTTTTCGATGAGGAATCACCTCCTTGAATGTTTTACACTTATTCAGTTACACCCTGTATTAGAGACCAGATATTATCCTGTCCTGGGTTCTTCTATATTGTATTTTGGAATAATTAAAAAGTACAGTTCGAAAGGCTTCAATTGAAAAGAAAGTCCCGGAGGTTTGAAAGAAATTATTTATTTATTTATTCATTTCATACACTATTCTACAGGATGAACCCAATTACAGAATAGGGAGTAACAGTGACATTTACAAATATGTACGTAAATGAATATTACTAGAGTTTTTTCCCAACACCAAAGCGTTATTTTTAACGCCTCGACACGTGTTTCGATCACCAAGTGATCATCTTCAAGAGGAAGATTAATCTTCCTCTTGATATACAGGGTGATATATTTGAATTAAGGAAATTGGTACCGACTTTTGGTGAAACCGAAAGTGCTGAAAATACAGCATTATTTGTATTCGATAAAGCAGTCGTCTTTACATAAACCAGTAATTAATTTAATCCCTAATGAGCCCACTATCTATATATAGAAATGAAACCCTTCTCGAACGTAATTGATGTGTGGCGATACTCGACTACTTGAGGGATGTATGAATCCAGACGCTTTTTTTATCTCAGACTTCCGAAACGTAATTAAAAAGTATTCATTTCTTCGAATATATCCAATGAATTATTCAGCGATCGGTTATACGCAGATGTGACGTCACAAGCAAAATATGCCGACTTGATTGATTTATTTGTCATTGATTGGGGAATTTAAAAAAAATTACTCTGGGGTAGTTTTATTTTATCCGTTTGTATAGATCTGAAGTACATTCAATTTATTAAATTATTGAATAGCATTCTTCATTATTTATATTTTTTACATCATGATAGGAGGGAGTAGTCAGAGTAGTAAATTTTATAATATCGGAAGAAAGTGTATAGACAAATATTTTTTGTTATCGTTAAACCATTATTTACAGTGCCATAAATTATTCAGAGTTCCAGGAAAATTAAATTTCAAGTACTAATAGATAAAACAAAACTAGGAAATTTGATGAGGTAACTACAGTTATGGATAACTTAACATAGATGAAATTGAAAGAGGTATATTTTTAGAAGAAACTCATGTTTGAAAAAGAAAGGTTTCGGCTTTCTACATCTCCATCTTTACATAAAAAATGTGGGAATCTTCGAAAGAAAGGAAGGAAGCAATCAATTTCAGATAATTAATTCTTCACAAAGATGCAACTTTCAAACACAAACTAGAAGAAAAAACCTCTCGAAATAGCTACTTCCATATAAACATTGAATTAGACGAAAGAAAAAATGCTTTAGAAACAACTACTTTCATAAGAACACTAAATTATACAAAACACTTTTTTCTATTCAGTTTGTATTCCAAACTGAATCAAATATCATTCACAGGATTCCTACACAATATAATAAATGAAAGAGGTAAAATTTCACTCATATAGAATGCTGTCATCCTCACTGGTGGATATTCGATGTTTCGGAATAAAACATTAAGCCTAAGTGCCTCTTCAGCACCAGTCTGGATAACATTATGAGATGACGCACCAAGTTCATTCATAAAATTAGGTCTTTATGTCACAAATGAGTTAAATCTACTCTTGTCATCGATGACATCGTAATGACATTCATTCACTTATTTGATTGAATCCCAGCCATAGGAATCTTGTTTAAACTGAAAGGAGTATCTTTCTAGGAGAGAATTAATTTTTGAGAAAGAAAGGTGTCATTCTATTTCTCCATCTTCATACAAATAAATGTGGGAATCTTCCAAATAAAGGAAGAAAGCAATAGATTTCAAAAACTTAACTCTATACACCTTAGAAACTTATGAGTATATCAAGCGAATAAACTACCAAATAAAATGTTTTTCCAGTATACACGTAATTATTCTACTTATCAAGGTCCCAATACGCTTTTGAGAATTTCGTGAGTTTTAAATTTGAACACAAAACATATTTTCAATAGACATTTTAAAGACCTTTTAATGATGTTTCACAAGCCCAAATTTTCCATTGCAAAATTTAGTAGGGTATCAAGAGTTTTAAAATTATACTCTGTCCAATCAAGCAACGGAGTGCTCCAAAACGTCATCATGTATAGTGCACGTGATCTCCGAGACAAGGCTGTTTGTACAGAGTCGTACTAAGGAACGAACGATTTTTTTTAATAGAATGCAAATTCTACTCTGACGCTAAATACTAGACTGCTCAAGTTCCACCTCAAACCTGGTATATTTTACTTTGCACTTCTGCTTTTCATATTATTCGCATCTGAAGGCTGATATCGTTCATTCAACAGACTCTTCATATCTCCTATTTTTCTTGATCTCTACTTGTGTGTCTGTGTTATTTCACCAACCCGCCTTCTCCTTCTTTTATTTTTTTATCATTTCTTGGTCTAGCAATTTCAGCCAACTATTAATTTTGTCATGTTCTTTTCTATTCTTTCATACTTTTCAGTTTTGTTTCGCCTACTTCCTTTTGATTTCCATTTTTCTTTCTAGTTGTTGATCTACTTTTCTCTTACAGTAACACTGAGAATAATTTAAGTCTCAAACAATGATAAAAATAAAATAAAAACAACAATAAAAATTAATTAGCGCTCCGGGGCGACTTCATTGATTCCAGTAGCGCATTTGCTTTTTCAGCTGCAGGAAAACCCGGAAAAACCTGCAGCGCCACACCATTTGAAGATCTTGATCTAACAATGTCCTCTCTCTTATAAAACAAAATGTAGGGTTTCTCCAGAGGCTCTAATAAATTCAATGCATCGCCAGAACACTTCGTGACACGGCTATCGTCAAATTAAACCAGTCCGTTTCGTCTTTGACCAAGGCGTAATAATGACCAAATTCAACGCCGAACCACAGTGAACAATGACTGCATGAATTATATAATAGTGGTCTGCTAGGTTGAAATGTTCATCTATTTCGAACCTTCCAAAGAGTTTCTTGCTACCGTTAGAGGTTGAGTCTTGTTTGAAAATCATCAGTGTTATTACTAGATTGACTGGTGCCTCAGCTATAGTTGTTTCCTTATAACAGTCAATTAGTTTAGCGCATGTTTGACAATACAGTCGATCATCACCTGTTGAAAATTCCATTTTTAGATGATTTAACAATAAGCTTTGCACGGACTGGTTATTAGTCATATTAGGAAAAGCCAGATGAAGTTCCAGAAATTCACATAAGTTTTCGGTACTTCTTGAACATTTACCATTTAATTAAAAACTTCTTTAGATCAACACTGACGGAAAGTCGATTATCAAATTTATTAATAAGTATTGAACATGAAACAAAAGTTGAATTCAGAGAATTTGTCACAGCTTTCATTTTACTATTTCAAAAGCACGAGAAGTTACTTTTTTTGTAATATGTATACTCAATTATACGAGTATTATGTGATAAACTGTTTTAAAATTATAACTACAAAGTTTTCTAATTTTATTTGTAACCCCTTCTTTTCTAAAAATACGTTTTACTCGTGTATAGGCTAGAGTATCAAAAAATCTCTAATTTCCTCTACCAGTTTCAAAACTA